TCGCCCCCCATCCAAGATAAATGATCTGGTTACACTGCATAGGTTGTGCTGGCTTGGCCACTTGCTGCGTATGCCCGCGACCGAATTCCTCAAAGGGTTCTTTTCACTCAACCACGTGAACGACAGAGGAGAGCCAGAGGCTCGGCAGCGAAGTATAAAAGCCATTACCAGCAAACTCAGCTGCGCTGGTCATTACCGTCCTCCTGGATGGGGACCCAGAGACGGGCCACATCAATGGTTAGAGACGTTGTCAGACATGGCCCTGCCGCGCTGTCAATGGCGCTCGTGCATCCAAGCTATTGCCTTCAATGCATAGCTCCTTTCCCAATTCCACCACTTGACAGCCCACTGAAAGTGCAGGCGTTGGACGAGCTGATTCTGTCAGTTTCTTTTGGTTTCTGAGTCCACGAGCTTCGCAGTGGCTGAACGAGGCGTGAGAGTATTGCGCAGACATGAAAAGCAGCAGTGTACAAGTGCATGACCAGAGCCCACATCCCAACCACCACCACTCATGTCGATACAACTCAGCATGTTTTCCTACAAATTTACCTTTGATTCGTGGCGCTGTATTAATGAAACTAAAGACCAACCTAACACTACTAAGACCAAACAATTTGTTCAATGTAGCAGCGCTTAGCGTCCATACTCTGTCAGATAGTTCTGTTCTCTTGCTAAACCCGTCTTCTTTAAGGCTGACGTGTGCTTTGTCTCCTGAACGTGCATACAAGGTCCAAGACAGCTCCGTTTATTCACGGCTTACTCTTCGGGTGTCAGATGATTTAGGGGCCGTTCCCCATGATCTCGGTGTTGTGGGTATTGGGTTTGGTACGAGGGCTGAAAACGCTTTGCTTGACTGACTCTGCGGTTGGACTAGCTGGATCTGTCTGAATTGGAAACCAACGAACCCACACCTGAAATCGGTTTTTTATTTCTCCAGAAGTCCCAACAAACAGCAGCAATAATATTGTCAGGGACGTTCAGAGGGGCCAACGAACCCACACCTGAAATCGGTTTTTTATTTCTCCAGAAGTCCCAACAAACAGCAGCAATAATATTGTCAGGGACGTTTCAGAGGGGTTTGGTAAACAATCGGTGTTTACCAAACCCCTCTGAAACGATGAATTCCCAATCGGTCCCAAACATTTTCCGATTGATTGTCAAGGACGCTTTAGCGGCGAACCTTGGAGATTACTGAGCATGGTCACGTCCACGATATCAATATTCTGGCGGGCAATCTTAATACGCAGCTGGGAAGACTAGACAAGAATGAGAACCCTCTCGTCGGAAGATGTGGTTGATGCTCCCGGAACCAACAGTGGCGATCTCCCACAACTATGTTGTTTGCAATCTTTTTCACCAGCGCAATTTTTCAGCACAAACTTAAGCATCGCTCTACCTGGTGCCCTCCAAACTGTAAGCAATCGGTCACCCGGTTTGAGTAAAGCAATTAACTGTGTATGGCGATCTTGTACTCCGGAATGTTGTTCCTTTTGGAAGGCGCGTTGGTGCCTGTATTCCAGTTCTTGTCCCAGCGATCAGGCAGACCATCCACCGTTATGATATGTGCAAGATTCTATCCTCAAAGAAGTATGTCAGCAGCAATTGTCTACAAAACGCTAAACAAGCCGGCTTGTCGGATGAAAACCGGTTCACACTGAACCCCCGCATCTCTACTACTCCTGTCTAGGCTTGAGCAATCTGGTGTTATCACAGCCTTCATGTTTCATTCGGGTGGCATGGAAGCTAGGCACCGAAAGGGTATTGCAGCTGAACGATTATTATTCTGTAAGCAGAGCACTTGGAAGACGAATGAACTGCTGGACAAATAACATATATGTGCTGTCGTTCCTGCCTTCAAAATATATTGAAGTTCCAAACGTGAGAGTCGCTCCTAATTCGCCCACGGTTATCATTCTTCATTGGTGTATGAGAACCTGTGAGGGATGGAATCGGGAAAGCCATTTAAGCCAATTTAGATCTGAAAGCAGTATTTAGCCAAGTTGGTCGCGCTGTTTTGTTGCAGTATCCCTACTATTAAAATATGTCGGACATTTTCGCCGCACTTCCTCAATCGTCTTACTTAAACACACTTTGTCGCACGCAAGTATGCGGTATTTTTCCGAGTTCACTACCAAAAGTGGCGTCCATCAAGGCCTCCTTTTTTCACCTTCCTTTTAAACTTCTGAATCGAAGTAATTGTCGAAGAAACGTTCCCTGTGTCTTCTACCACCGGCTTGGGACATCCTCCGGAAACGACCTTAAAAAACGTGGATTATGCGCTAGTTGGTATACGCTGTGAATCTTCAAAGTGCTGTCACCAAATTGGGTGGGTGCTCCACAAAGCTGATCATAACATTAGAATCATTAAATATGGTGGACACATCTGCCTACATGAATAGTGTCGTCACTGTGGATGACAGCATTTTTGACTAGGTTGGTGCTAGAATGTATGCTTTCCTTTAAGTTGGCCAGCTCTGGTGTCAGTGTGACATAGTCTGTCGGCAAAGTGCAGAGTCTACAAGGCTGCACTGCGTACAATGTTGCTTTACGTTTGTGAAGCCTAACTAATGTGCATTGAAGAAGTGCTTCTCTTAGGCCATCGGTACCTTCAAAAACTGCACATGTGTCATATGGACATCGAAGTAATAATATCGTAGTGTGGCGAGTAGCTTTTGACAACAAATCAGCTGCATTTCCAGTTGAGTTGATCTGACTGCACGAAGTAGTCTGACCTGGCCAATTGCTCCGTATACCAGGTAATCGGTTTGTTTGCTGTGCCATGTTTACTGCGCCAGGTTCTAACTGGATGATATCACAAGGGGAGCAGCATATGACCGGGAGACAGCATGAAAGACGATGGTTCTTAACTGCATTGCTGCGTTTTCTCTGCGGAGTTGGAGTATCAACGGCTAGAAGTACCCGCCGACATGGTGATGTCACGTGGTGTTGTATCTATTCTATTGTTCTTGAATACTAACCCACTGTTCTTTTTCATTTTGTTTCTCAAAACGTTCTGTGCCCTCCGTATCCTATCTTTCCCGTCGTTATAAGCTGCGGCGACCCGCACCACCGTACATATGCACACGATTCACGGTTTTCAAACTAAATCTAGTCATTTCGCACACGCTCAACCATAGTTGCAGTTCTGAAGTTTGAAATATTCTCGGCGAGAGTGAGGCATCAGTGTCAACACTGTTGTTGGTGTCTTTGATGATGATGATGGTGGACTCTACCCACATATACCCAACCGTGTTACAGTCCTTGTGGAAGCGCTTGGACGCTTCACAAATGACCACTGGATTTTTTGAGGCTTTCACCTTTTTGTGTATATTCAACTCGATTGTCAAAGGTCCTATGGTCGCAAGGGTCGCCCGGAAGGTCCTAAGTGAATATGTTTTATGAAAAACGCTTGATGGGCATTGTTTTTTGACAGTCACCTACCCACTCAGCCGAATATTAATAAACTATCAAAGTGTCCATCTGTTTTTGTATATGATTTGTACAACCTGGCCCTCCAGGTTGGGGGTTGGAACATGTGGCTACTTGTTCCGTAGGAACGGTAATGCATCTGCATTTCCCGCCAAACACCGCTGCCTTGCGGTTAGGCTTTTGAGCCAAAGGCTTTGGTTGAGGACCCTAATCGTCCTCCTGTCTAGGTTTGAGCACCCTGGCAGTATCCCAACCCACGTACAAACATGAACTGTACATATAAAGACCACCTGGCTCTTTGAAAATGTATTAACAATCGGGACGAGAAACGTGAGTCTATGGAACGATTTACATGCCTCATCAGCTCCATTTGCATCGACTCTACTATAATAGATAAAGGCATGTAGCATATGGGTGAAAACAATATCTGAAAAACGCGTATTCTGTAGCACAAAATGAAGTTTCTCTTGAACTTGCGGTTGTTATCCACAAGGATTAATACATTTCGTCTCACGGCTTAAAACTTGATCCAGGAAATCCAGAGTGCCTACGTGCGTCGGCCTGCCTCCTCCACGTGTTTCGTGGGTGGTAGCGAATTTGCAGTGAAGCGGTGCGTAAGCCGGCACTTGGCGAAATAACTTTGGAGTGACTAGTTATAAGATTGAGATGGCTTGGACTTGTGATATAAATGCCCACCCACCATCCTCCAAAGCGGGCATTGTTTCCTTTTCCCAACCTTGACGAACGGAATTTTTGCATTTGTTAAGCTTTGAAATAGTAACGTGGAACTCACATCAAACTGTCAGACACAGAGGTGAGAATCTCTGCGCTTTCATAACTGCTGTCTACACCGTTGCGCGTGGCTGATAAAAATTCAGAGAATATGGCACGTGACTTGTCCCAGTAAGGAGCACACTGTCAATTCTTAGACTTGTTCGCTAAATTAATCTTGATTAAAGTCCATAAACACCTGTTAACGGTTTTTGAGGTAATATCCTGTTGCCCCAGCGCAATACCCACGTGTGTTTGTATTTCATTGCTATTCATTGCTCTTCACTGTTTTCTGTTTCCCTAGGATCCCAGGAAATTTTTGGGAGAAACACCACTTAGTGTCCATACCACAAGTAATCCCATTAAGATGCAGTCCCGGTTATTAGAGTTTTGCAGCCTCTTGGAGCAGAAGTATGAAAGTACCTGAAAGTACCCGTTGTTTGAATAACTGTCGTTTTTCGTGTCCCCACACAACCATCTTGCTGTTGCTTGGATCTATATTGCCTCCAGGTTATGTGTGACCTCATTGCTGTTATCTGGCACAAGTAACCACGACTGGTGAAGTAAGAATGCTTTACCAGTTTCCGTTTCTGGAATTTTTCATTTTTCACTCGCAGTGGTTTGCCATCAAAATTTTTAATGTTTGATCGCACACGTTTTTGCACATTTATTTTGATTCACCGATTTGCTACCTGAAGAGCTCGGTGTTAGTTGAGCATGTGGCGCCAAGTTGGCCTGAATTGTCTTCGTTATGTTTCACTGTACCCTTTCATTTCGTTGTATTTTCTGTCTTTCTGTAGCCGAAATCTCGGTTTGGATCTGGGGTCTTACATCCAAGGCAAGTCGTTCAATCGTTCTGTCTCAATTAGCGAATCTAGTCATCCCGACTTTTCCCCGCCAGCAGCCCTAGCCGAATCAGGGGCCAGTACCACCTTTCCAGTTTCCACAAGAAGGATCCTTAGTGGCGGCGATGCCATGTCAGAACCTTCACCCTCACCTCTATCCTCAGCAACAGCAACCATTTCCCCGGAAAGTCCTCCTCTTACCTCATCGTCCATTTTTCCAGTCTCTGCTGCATCTGAACACGAATCGCCAGTTGAATCCGAAACACCACCTAATCTATATCCCCCTCACACTACAGCTGAGATCACTTCACAACTGATGACCGCCACCCCAGTTACTTCAGCGGTCAATCCCCTCTCTTGTTGCAGTACGGCAGTCACAGCGCAGTCGTCCACTTTCGCCATACGTGCCAAAAATCCATACACATCTACATTCAGCACCCTTTTCCAGAACCCTGTTACCCACCGGACTGTCAGTCTTTTGTCGCATTTGATAGACTCCCGATTGTCGCCAGAGTGGCGTACGGCTTTGTTCATCAGAACTACACCGTCCACTACTACACCCTCTCCGGTGCTACATACGAGTGACTTATTGGTGACTGGCAGTGGTGTTCTTTTTTCCCCTTCTACAGCCGTGGATAGTACGGATTCAGCCCCATTACGTCGTGTGCCACCACTCGTATCGTCTCCGTCTGACGAAGTTGCTGTCACCAAACGTTTCAAGCACAGTGATGATTCGGATTTACTTCCAACGAATAATCTTAACAAAACAGCGAGTGAACCACGACCTCCCACCTTTTCGACGGTGACGGCGGGTACTTCCAGTGGTCAATCCGTTGACACATTCGTGTCTCTTCGCCTTGTCACTTGTGTCTGTCGTTTGGCGGACCATTTTGAGTCTCGCTACCGGGACAAGCTTGGTGACCTACTTGAGGATGTTGCACGCCTGAGTGCTTCACATACAGAGGCTGAAAGTGGTGCGGACAGTGCAATTGATGTCATGAGTTCTACCACTGAAGGGAACGATACCCCATCTAATGGGGCAGATGATGTTTCCGCAATGTTGATTCGTTCTGCTCGCTGTCGATTTCATCAGGTACTTAATGAGTTGTTCCGGGAGCGTATTAACTGGGGTCGTGTTGTTGCCATGTTCGCCTTTGTGAGGGCATTGTGTGAGCATGTGGAGACTGAGGCGGAGGTACGCTCCCACACTGTTGTCTGCTCTGGGGCGGAAGACGACGAACGTGACCGAGTAACGCGACCCTTCACCACTGCTGAATGCGCTGACGTGAGTTGTTCCCCCTTTTACTCGATGTCTTAATTATAGTTCTTGATTTGCTCTTGACCTGTATTGATGTTTTATCACAGGGGCTAGTCTCAGGCAACTCCGGAGGTAGTTCCATCATAACTTTCCCAGCCTATATTTCTTAGATGGCTGACGATGCCATCTGGAAAGATGCCAGTTAACTCAACTTATTCGGAGCTTAAAGGAATCCTTGTTGAATCGCCACTGCAAGGCGTTTTGCGCAACAAAAAATATTGACAATACCCTTTACTTGTTCAAATCTTTTTGAGTTGTTGTTCGGAGATTTTGTATCCATTACGCGATTTTTTTCTTGCAGTTAATAGCTGTTACTTCAAGCTTCCATCATAACTTTCCCAGCCTATATTTCTTAGATGGCTGACGATGCCATCTGGAAAGATGCCAGTTAACTCAACTTATTCGGAGCTTAAAGGAATCCTTGTTGAATCGCCACTGCAAGGCGTTTTGCGCAACAAAAAATATTGACAATACCCTTTACTTGTTCAAATCTTTTTGAGTTGTTGTTCGGAGATTTTGTATCCATTACGCGATTTTTTTCTTGCAGTTAATAGCTGGTTACTTCAGGCAACCGTTCGTGAAAGTACACATGCTTTGTCGCGTTTTTGAGTTTCCCAGCCAGTCCTTTCATCGACCCATGGGGTTTATCCAAATTTTGTGAAGCCTACCGTCCTTTCGCAGAATAATTAGGGCTGTTCAGTGTGGACAGTCACTCACTTCCCAATCCTCACAATCACTACTGAACTCGCGTTAATTTAGGCTGCCGTTTGGATTCAGTTGATAAAAACGTCGTTCGATTAACTGACGAGTTTTATTGATCGATTGTTAAGGTCACGTTGTTAACCCAATGCATGCGCTTTTAAGACCACTATGTTTTGGTGTTGCATGTGAATACTGAACCAAAACTTATTTGTTCAGCTCCGCAGTTGATATCTCATGACGCAACAGTGCGGTATTCATTTTTGAAACAAAGAACTCATACAAGATATACATGGCTACACTGAAAACCCATCCACAAAATCATTGTGTAACTTTTACAGGCTGACGAGAAATTCTCTTGCTCGTGTTTTGTTGAATGATTTTCACTGTCTAGGTATTGAGACTAGGCCTAGGGTCCACAGTACTCTGGCATCTTTAACCGCACCTCCAATCTATTCGATTGGATGCTGACTAAACTTATTTCACTCGTTCGCTTCTGGAAGTTATATGGCTTAACTTTGTGCTGGATTCGAACGGCCACCATTTTTAATCCCAACCCGAAATCCGGTAAAAATGCGAACGAATCGCAGCATCTGCGGTNCTTCAGCAAAACATACTTAGTGATTTGGCGGCCCGGCTCAAGGACCGGTTGTCTTATTCAGTCTTTCGGCATATCCAACGACTGGGAATAGATATAATACATTTCTGACACTCCAGCAGTGCAAACCAGAGAAAGCACCAAAACTGATGCCAGACTGATCAAACAGAAAGGATCACCTGGCTGATTGGTACACCAAACTGGTTTCGATTTGCTCAGGATTTGTACATGTGGCAGAATGTATCGCATTGGCTTTTGTGACGTGCAATTCGAAATCTACGAACCAGTATCTGCTGGATCGGTTCGCTATGAAAGTACTGATAAACACACCATCGAATTTCACGTTCATTTTACAGGGTCCGTGTATAAATTTTGATCTCACACCATTGATGTTGGGCTACCGGCGATGGTTGTAATTATTATTAAAATCCGAGATGGCTCACTGGTTAAGGCGCGAACTTATTGACCGAATGATCCAAGGCGTGGTACCAAAAGAATGCTACAACTAAATCGCTTTTTAATAAAACTAAAACGTAGCCATAGACGGTAAAAAGAACCCTTCGCGTATCAGTCGAAAGGACATCGTTCAGAACCTGGTGCCACGTAACTAACGGAGATCCTTTGTGTTTTAGGGAAGCAATCGTATTCTGATTCTACTTTCCGCGACTCATCAATCAGTCTCTTTGAGTGGCTTGGAGTTTGCACAAAGTAAAGTATCTCTAGGAATACTTTTCTGCGTCTTTTAATGAAAAAACCGCGTGTTCACGATTTTCAAAAAGGGGAACCGACGGCCAGTTTAAAGGCACCCATTCGAGTATTTCGACCCTAATAGTTCATTCTGGTTCAGCTCAATGCATTTCACTCTACTTTGTGCAGTTCCGCAGTTTCACGTGGTTCGCCTTAGTTCCTGTGAAAATATGCGTTGGTTTGGGTTAGCTCAATGGTTGAGTGAAGGCTGGTGAGGAAAACTAATTGAAGTGCATAAAGTAATGCGGAGAACATGGAACAAAAAACTGACTAAAACTCCGGGATAGATGATTGGATTCAACATTCTTTACGGAGGTTCACTACGTTGGCAGTGTTTTGCGGTCGTCAACCACACCGACCACTTGAACCAACATGGCGAAGCTTCCCACACTCCACATCCAGTTCGTGCTTTCTCTACCTTGTACCTTCCGCCAGTCAGCAGTAGAATGTCAAACTAGTATGTCAAGTGACAGCGCAACTAGTCACTGATGTTTTCGAAAAAGTTTGGTGACAATCGGTAGATTTATTGCTGGACAACGTCTCGCTTTTGACACAAAAGCTTCGTCAGGCCAAGTGACTAGGCTCCGTGGTTGGTCGAGATTTAAGGCGGAAGGAGAACCAATCAGCTAAGTCAAGCTAAATCCTTCTTGGTTGTCGGCCAAGGGATTTGAGTGTGTTAGAGTGGTTGAACAAGTGTTGGGTCGGTGGGGAAACCTACGTGTGTTTAGGTCCAGCCTAGGGTCTAGTTCTTCTGGCTCGGTTCATTTCATTGCTCTTCTTGAACTTCGTTTGAATTTTCTGTCAGTCTATGTGGGTGAGCTAATGCTAAGATGGTGGTGTAAGAGGGAGGCAGTGACCTTTGTTCGGTTAGAGTTTTCACCCCCAAACCCCGGTTTTTTCTAATGATCCTAAGTGGATTGAAGACCACACCGTCACGTGTCAACTCGGATTATCTAAGGCCACTTTCCATACGCTCGCTAGCTCCACACCCTCGATTCTATTCACGCTGTGATGCTTAGTGATTTCCACCGCCTCGGCTATCGGCCGTTGTTGTGTGAATCGCAGTCCCCGTCTTAAGACTTCCACATTCTCCAGATCTATTCTATGTCCCGTGTCTAAGGCATATACCACCATCGCTGAGTCTTTGACCAGCGTTTGGTATTCTTCTGCATTCCTTGGTGGCTTGTTAATCCTTCTTTTATGCTCACCAATTCTGGTGTGCAATTCCCTGGCAGTTTGTCCTATATAAACCTTAGCACAATCGTTGCAGTTAATTTTGTACACACAGTCCCTAGTCCTTTCAACCAACAGGGGAACTTTCAATTGTACCAAAACTGAGCGTAGCGTTTTTCCCTTCTGAAAAGCTACTCGAATGTTGGCAAAGTTCAACAGTTTTCGAATAACTTCTGATGTTCCTACTTTATATGGAATGACTGCTGTGCCAATCCATTCCTTACTGGTTCTAGATACTGGAGCCAATATCTTTCTTAGTTGACGCCTAATCAAACTCACTGGGTATCCTACTTCGTGAAGTTTGTTGACAATCCCGACTTGAGCTGCTGTTCGGTCGATCTCTTGTGCACAGCGCTCGCAGTCTTTGAACCATATTATACGCTCCCCTCCACACAGTGTCCGTTGTTCTGTATGTTGCGCTCAAGCAGGCTGTACCGCTCGAATTTAGCCGCAGCTACGGCCAGGAAGCCTAACGCGAACGGGTCGCCTGGTGGTTCAGCATCAAGCTGAGCTCTGATTGGTCGAAAATGTTGGCCAATCAGCCAATCATGATAGAGTATTTGCCAAATGCCGGTTGCCGAATCACAGTACAGGTGTTCTACCCTCATTTGAGATTATCAGCCGGTATTTAACACTGCGTTGTGACTATTGGGTCAAAGTGGCCTCATGTCCCCCATTCATCTTTTTTGCACCCATAGGTTGATGCTGTCACTGAAGTGACATCTTCAAGTAGCCAAACGACAGCAACCATAACCCCTGTTATGGACAACTCAGACGGTAGGCCAGTTTCAACGGATCAAACTCACAAATCAACAGCCAACGGTAGTGAACTCAGTCCAAAATTTACCGGACTGCGTGCAGCACACTATGTTGCTTGGACAGCCGAGTTCATTCACGGCTCCCATGGCATATGGGACTGGATTACTGCCAACGGCGGATGGGTGAGAGCTCGTCTTATGATTTATTTTAGTTGTTACCACTTGTTGGAAATCGATTTAATGTTTGGTTAGCTGAGTTTCAAAATTATTAGCCATCTGCTATGACTTACTACCTGCTGTTGGGCCATACTGCACAGATGTCGACTGTGCCTTTTTATTCGCTCTCGCAGGATGGTCTGATAAAGTTTGAATCAGAGCGGGGAATATACGATTCTACAGCAGGAGGTGACCGAATTCTTGTTGGCTTCACCGAGGACGACGCGATGCGATTGCTACGTCGAGCAGTGACCGGAGTGGCAACGTTGGCCGTGGGTGCTGTCGGTCTGGTGGCTGCTCTACGTTACTTCTCGAAACGCATGTAGTATCTAGACGCCCTGCAGTTGTCTTCCTTATCCTTGCGTCGACACCGCGACGCACTGAACTCCGCACTGTACCGCTTGGTATGTCTTTTGTTCCATAATTGTCCCTCACGAGGTTCCAGGTGTATCCCACTTACGGCACATAAAGTGCCATAAATGTTCGCAGAACAAATCCTTCCCTTTCCTTATAGTTCATGTACGAAATCATGGTATATCAGCCATGATGTTAGCGTTTCGTTGCCTTTCAAATGAAAAATTTTAATTTCGGATATACAAAGAAATAAGGAAAATGAAGCATGGATGCGTACACCTCCAGCTGCTCACTCAGTCAGAATAGCAACTGACAAGGTTCGCAACCGTACTTTGTAACACCTCAAGTCATGTGGTGTTCACTGTTGAGAGAGAATAGCAATATTAGGTTCAGGTGTGTGCCCGTTTCAACCTTGTAGACCATTTTCTTCGCGCTACCTATAACTACCTAGATAGTTAACTGGGTGGGTGATTATTCCCTAACAAGTGAACGTTTGGCCAAATGAGTCCACGCCCGATGTTTTCGCTCTCACTGTCATGGCAAACAGTCAGTTATTTTTAGTTAGTACTGTTGAGCTCGAGACCTGAAAGTAACCTGTTTAGCTCACCAAATGTTATCAATTTTGGTGGACCAATATGATCTCAGTGATGATGGATTGCTAGAGTATTACGTCGTGTAAGTAGCTGCGGCGGTTCTCCGGACTTCTTAACTTATACATTATCATACCTTGAGTAGCAAGCATTAGACGGGACTTACTGACATGGCTTTATGGACAATTCTGGTCGAATGTGGCTAACTTCTAGGATGGATAGACGTCACCATTGTAACCCAGTGTTTGTATATGTTACGAAAGGTATCCTGATGTATCTGGTAACATGATGACCGAGATTCCCCATCTGTTTCTACCAGACTTGCCGGTTACTATCGGCATCTGCAGAAACTGGCAAAAGGCGGTCCCCACAGAAGTATGGTCTCTGCGAAAAAGTTTTTAAAACCTTGGCCGGGATGCCTACACAAGTATATGTGACGAAACGTAGCAAGTGGAATGTTTAACTTACATGATTACAGGCCGACTTGTTCGACTCGAGTTTGGGAGCGGCAGGTGGGCTCGCGGTTCTCCTGATTCTGGTGGGACAAGGCGGTAGTGTTAGTTTTCTAGTAAGTCGAGTAACTGACTTGCGAATCACTCGAGCTACCAACATTTGACACATTACCAAGGTGATAATAATTTAACTTGAGCAGACTTGTAAAAGTCCCACAGCTCATCAGTATACAGTTCACAACTCCATTTAGTCTTCTGTTTTTCTTCAAACTACCATAAGACTACGTAATCTCAGCCGTACGTTATTTGTACGGTAATCTCATATCAGCCACGTTTGTAATGGTAATCAAGCCCAGCGGAACTAAGTTAGTTTTTTATTCTGCTCAAATCGTCGCACTTGCATCACTAGATGCTTAGTTTCAGTCAACCGGACGGAAGTTCATTCAAGCAAAATAACCAGCAGGGGAAATAAAGTGGCTGATGGGTGACAGCTCGGTGGGGCCTGAAGTTTCCTCGAGGCCAATTTTATGCTGGGCCAGAAAATAACTTCAGACTTAAAGGTGGTTTTCTACCGGTAAGGTTCTTGGTTTGAATCTACCTCTAGCTTTTCGGTTGTTTTTGTCCGTGTTTCAGCAACCTAGCACTATCTCAACCTTACGAGTTGCATAACAGATAGGCACCATGGCTGAGCGTTTCGTTTTTTGGTGCTGCGCTTACAGGAGGGACTTATGTTTGACGCACAAACAATTCCACATAGGCTGAGACTGAGCAAGGTGCCTTCCGACGAATACGATCTTGTTTTTTGCTTTTGTTTTGTGTTTCGTAAGCATTGCGGCATTTTGGAAGTACGAAAGGACACTACTTTTCTAAGAGTTTTCACAGTATTGCTCGATTCAATCAGGGAGGAGTACACAATCGTTTTCGAAGAATGAACTCTCGGCTGTTTTATGTGATTACCTTTTTTTGCTTCTAGAAAGGGGTGCTGTATTTTGTTGTTGCCGCAAGGTTCCTGTGTGCCTACACTTAGTGCAGGCTTTGAATTGTTATGTTCATTCGGTTTTTTTGCTGCTAAGACATCGTACATGAGTTAAACCGTGTACTACCCTTCAAAAGCACGAACCAAAAGGCTGTTTGTGCATCTCCATATGTCAGTGATATAAAATCAACTATGAAGATAGATGTAACTATCTCAGACGACGAATGCGCTCTGTTTCACCCAAAATACAAGCCCCGATTATGCGATGGGGAGGAAATCGATCGATGTCAGCATGCTCATTGACTTTTTCTACTTGTCCATTGGCCGCGTGCCAAACCTCGTTGACGGACAGTCAAGCTAATACTACCTATACCATTCTCGTATTTCCTTCCGCCTCCAAACGGAGTGGTCATTTGCATTGTTCAATGGTCCTAATGACAGTCGACACACATGCACGTCTATGCCCGTTTGTGTTCTTCCTCACCGTGTCGCCCTGCTAATGGCCTGCCGGACCGATATCGTCATAGAGTTTTCTTGTCCTTGTAAGGGGAAAAGAAGCTATTCAGGCTTCTCCTCGGATGTCAGTATCTGTGTTTTTGAGTTTCCGTGGATTGCCTAAGCTGTAAAATCCATGTGGAACTGAAGTGATGCAGTCCCTAAACTTGTGTTACTCTGATTATTTCTGTTCTCAAATCCAACTAGTATGGATTTTAGTTTTTTTTTCGCTCATATTCTACGAAGAGACTGAAACTTGCTGTGGTGTGACAATTTGTGTGCCTGTGTAACCCAGTGAGTTGTGATGCGGGTTGTTTGTGTGGCAGTCCCTGAGGCTTCCTCGTCAGTCGAACTCGTCTGCTGGTCTTGCGCCATGCACGGATACCTCGAGGTCAGGATTCTGAGGCCAGACGCTTCAGCTGAAAATTTTCATCGTGCCCCTATGTAGGTTTGGGCGTCCTGAAAATATCTCAGCGTACACACAACCATGATTTGCAAATATATCTTCATGCCACATCAGCCGTCGCATAAAGAAATCAGCCGGGTCGCATTCGCTGCATACGACAAAGCAGATAAACACGCAACTGCTGATGCCTCTCATCTTTTCTTTTCTTGCTTACTGCCACCCGTCCGATTTAATTATCTTTCCGTCACGAAGAGACCGGACCTTACCGTGGTGTGACGGGCACCGCACCTCAGCGATCCATTGAGCTATACTGGGGAATGTCCCCGTGACACTCACAGAGTCTCTCATACCAGGTTGGTCAATGTTTAGAGGTCTGACAAACAGTCTCCTGGCCTTCCAAGTTGGAGGTTGGAACATGTGGCGACTTGTGCCGTATAAATGGTAATGCATTTGCATTTTCCGCAAAACACCGCTGCCTTGCGGTTAGGCTTTTGAGCCATTGGCTTTGGTTAAGGACCCTAATCGTCCTCGTGTCTAGGTATGGATGCCCTGGCAGTATCCCAGCCGTCGTACAACCATGACATTCATGACCGTGGGGCCCAACTGTACGCAGGGCAGTCAGCCATCAAGGGAGATGACCGATTGTACGCCACCGCACACACCTGCCCTTTGGCTTCCAATCATCAGACACCGTTTCCCCTACTTTAATGTTCGCACCCTTAGGCAAGCTGACCAGCACTGTCGACAGGTACATTTCCGCAGCTCGGATGCAATCTCCAAGTAGCGGCACTTTAATTATGTACGAACTTCAGGTGATCCTGAATCTGTTGAAGCGAATTACGCCAGTATTCGTGTCAACTCCCCTTATTCGATCCTCCTAAATAACTGCTTCTCTGTTCGCTTGTCAAATCCATAAGGATTCGCGCTGACCGAATAATTCACCAACCAACTAATTCTGATTCACTGAAGGATCCCAACTCACAAGTAGACTGCCTTAGTTCATCAGAGACCCTACCAGATGGCCTGATTTAGTTTGTACCCGAGACGTGATGACAACGGGAGTGGTCTGTCGCAACTCTGGACTGATCGGCTGCTCCTCATCAGTGCTGGATTTGGACGCAGTTGCGCTACTTATTGTCTTCCTACTGATGGACAACCGTGGAACTAGACTAGTGGTCATTGGCACCCGGTAGCGAGTCTATTCTTGACTGTCAGTGTTTCTGAACTACCCACGTCGATTCTGATTGTGCAGCCGTCCAGTGTAAATTTCCGATAAGTTCCCCCCAAGGAACAAACCATGCGCTTCCAGTCAGCATAGGTTGGGCAAAAAGCGCTCTGCTAGACAAACAGTCCTCTGTCCGGACTAGTGTAACCCGCGAACTGTTGTTGCTGATCCTTTCTGGAATGTTCTTCATTTCTGAAGCTAAGGGCTTACCTCGGGATCTCTATTCCGATGTTCTCACCAAACTCGGCCAATGCTTCGGAGGCACCGGTCGTCGAACATTGATATTTTTCGTACATCCTCCGCTTGTCCGCACATAGGGGCCACGTTCCTAATCCATAAAGCACTATGGTCGCACCGTTGCAGTGTATAGTCTGCCCCTGACGGACAAACTGACTTCACCGGCGATGTAGCTGAAAACTGTCTTGACATTCCCGATTCGAGAAGTAATCTCGTCTCTAGCCAGTCCAGCGGAATTTATACAACAGCCCAGGGAAACAAATTCATCTACCACCTTGATTGGCCTATCTTCAAGCTTGAGGTTGGGCTTGACCTCACAGTCTTGTAGCAACACTCCACAATTTGCAGCTATCAAGCGTGTGCCAGAGCGTACGGCAGAATTATCTAGGTTATTTAAAATGACTTGAACCTTTAATGGATCCGAACCAAGCGGAGCAATATCGTCCGCATACTCAGTGTCTGTGAGCGGACGCCCCAGAATTATCTAAGATTTGTGTAAGGACATCAGTCCCAGGCTAAACATCAGACCCAACCAACTGCGGACTGATGATGTTTGTTCTATGGTGACGGAAACGTTTGCAAGCCAGTTGCCAAGCTCGCCGAACAGATCAACAGCCACCTGATCAACAACCATTGGACGTCAGTCTCTTTTCATATACGTCATAGCAGTACCTATGTTACGAAGGCTAACGTAACACCAACAGGAAGCGAATCATATCCGTATGGTTCGATGGTACGGTTGTTCAAATCTGAGTGTAACCAGCTTCTATGGTGGATGACAGTTCCGCCATTTCCGTTTCGTTACTGGGAGTGAAACTTGGATAGCTGCACGATCTTTCCACGTATTACTAGAGATCATTGCTAGGGTTTGCGTCTATGTGACGATCCACCTGGCACGATTTTTATTCAGCCATACATGCTTGAAGGGCATACGTTTCTAACTGTCGCTTGCACTGTGGCCGATTTCCTTCTTCAAAACAGGGATTTCAACTAACTGGTGTTGTAGTTGAGTACCACGACCTTTAAATCACTGTGATGGAAGACGGTTCAATGTTAGTGGAATATCGGGTGATTTATTATGAGTTTTTAAGTTCCAAGACTGAAAACGACTGCTAATTTGAAACACTCGCCGGCTGATGTCGTTTGTAGTGCCAATTTGTCTATCTTCATCGCTGTCTTCGTCCTAGAATCTGTGCAAGACTAGTGTTTACTTTAATCGTAGTGTTGTGCACTCTGTTGGAGTATTGATTTTGCAACACCAACACTCGCTCATTGAGGTGACTTCCCTTAACTTTGATTTCTTGGTGGCTAGGGAATGTTCACCGGTTAATGATGCGCTAGCTTTTCGATCAGCCGCGGGTGCCGTTTAGTGGGGGTAGTATCCACAGCAGCCGCTGAGTTTTTTCTCATTGAAGATTCTCTATGGCAAAACTGCTGATTATCACAGTTTGTTAGAGGGATAATAATATCCAGAGGTTTGTTGGCCATCTTTGACGTTCCCACTAGTCAGGCTACCACGTCCTATATGTCGTACCGAGCTTAGGCCTGAACACCATGCGGTCGCATTCGGTTTGTTAGGTCAATCGGGTATTTGACGGCAAAAGCACATGTGTCTTGCTCGTCTGTTCTACCTTGTTGAGTCACAGCAAAATGCGTATGCCTCACATATCGAATTAGAGGGTTTCAATTACAGTACGACCTGAGCTGTTGGTTCTGCCGAAAGTGAAACTCAAGCTTTGTATTCCCGTGTGAAAAACTTAATTAATGTGGTTCAGAGGTTTGAAGTGCGCCAAAAGGTCACACTCACACACCTCTGTTGCTTCCGTCTGCGCTTGAACTCAACTTATTGGTATTTCGGGCCTCTTTCGGGTTGCGTATCAGCTATGTAGTGGATGGTTGGTTTGGGTAATGACCTCAGGAAGGGAAGTCTGATTTAGACAGTGGAACCTCAGTGGCCGTTTGGCCGAAGAGTTGGGTAAGCTTTTGCTGTGGCTGCTACCCGGGAGAGGAGTATAGTTCGCCGTTGGTTTGTTCGATGAGTTGCGCATTTGGTTGCATACCTGTTAGCAATAATGCACGCCTGTACGCCGGAACTCTGGCTGGCGATTGGTGTTGTTGTACAATTGTTGCTGTTTTCGGTCCGTTTTGAATCTGGAACTGGTGCAGGAGTGTATCTGCTTCTCATGTGGTCTTTGCCGCTCTACTTGTGATTTATCGTCCGACTGTGCACTCCAGCCTTGAGTATATGTTTCGGAGCTCCTGTTATATCAAATTCACTGTAGATTCTGTGTTGTTCGAATGTACCGTTTATTTCCTCCACACTTCAGCTCATGGCAGCTTTGAGGCCTACTTGCGAATCTAGCACGCAACTGAATATCGTCTTTCTGTCTGTGTCCGGCATGATCCCAGGAATCCCACTCCTTTGCTCCACCGGACATCTGCTGTCAAGTGTCACGATGGCTACGCTTTTATGCATCTCCCGTCTATCACCCTCCAACCCCCATCCCACACACATTTGATTACCTCTTCCTGTTGAGTCATCCTTTACTCTACAATTTGAAGCAAATCATGTTTTGGACACAACTGTTTGTGAACACGTTTTATCATGTCCTGACTTTCTTCTGTTCCCCTCTGCTGCCTTTGCGATGTGTTGTTGTGTTCACCTATACGCGTGCGTCAATTTTTACTGCCCCTATTCCCTCCTTACCCATGTTACCTCTTCCTTCCATTTTGGTGCGGCTCTGCGACAATCATGTTTTTTTTTAATTCTCCATTTCTCCGTTTTTGTGCTAAGCGTGGTTACCTCGTAGCTTTATCACATGCTAATCCTAAGGTGACAACAGCTCTGCGAATTATCTAAGCCAATCTTTTTTTCTCAGTTGGCATCTGTGCGACTAGTATTCGCGACAGGTGTGACGTTCTATGAAATTTCGTAGTTAATGGGGCTTTCAATGACCGTAGTCCGACTGAGTGCGTGGTTCGTGGGACCTTCCACATCTGTCGTAAGTCGTTGGATTAGTCTGGCTCGTTTTCCTCATCTCACACCTTGGAAGATTAGTCTTTTGTGATTGAAACAGTCCGTAAATGAAGCTAAATAATCTAGGTAGGGTTTAGGAGCCATACTTTGCACCCTTATTTGTCTTTGAGGCTCTAAAACTGTGATTTTGCCCTCGTGGTCATGCCTACAAGAGTGAAACTGCTCTGGACTACGGTACTGTGCATTGTGGTTTCGCCACCAGGATTCTAGACTACCTGACAAAGTGTAATGTGGTAAATGGGAGTCTGAGATACGTACATTCAAAATGTGGGAAACCACTGGTAAATCAATAGCACTGTAGGCAGGCGAACGATCGCGTTGCTCCCTTGATGTCGAATGGCGAGTTGCTCACCAATTGGTCTTGGAAACTACATCACCCTATGTTTTAGAGCGCACGAACTTTGTTGCGATCAGGAGCCCGGGTGTACTTGCACGTGGCTGCTTAGTCATTTTACTTGTACCATCAGGTGTCTATCTGTTTTCAGGTACATACGGTTCAATAATTCAGTGAGGCTGGGCGCAAAAGGCGAATATTTTCGATGTTCTCGTGAAATCAACTAACCTTTGGACATTGACATTTCATTCACAGTTGAAATCGATTCACATTAGTCTAGAGCACGTTAGTCATACCGTTTAAACTGATCTTTCTGAGAAGGACCCTTGCTCTTGATTCTATACGTCATTACTAAGCCATGCGCGTGTTCTGTCCGCTGTCAGCAACTTTTTCTAAGTGAGACAGTTTTCCAGAATAATTATTGCGCACTTGTATTCACACGACGTGGGATGTGTGCGAAGACCGTGCGCCGATCAGACACGTGCTTGGAAAGCTGTGGTGGTCCATAAAATCCACCCGGCAAGACTGCGTGGGCGTCAAGCTCCAGCTTGAAAAATTGAGTGAAACTGGGTCCTTTGTTTCTGTCTTTCCCTGTTCAACGCGCCCGTCACGTTCTGGTATGTGACACTGCCGATCAATACCTTGAACCTTAGGTGGCCTTCGTGTAAAAGTGCATGTGCACATCATTGTGTCGTCTGGCCTGACACGTTCCAACAGGCACAGAAACAGGAACCTACTTTCGTCTCTAAGTTTAGCCAAGGTTTCTAGTATGCCTGGCCATAAGCACAAGGTTACTGTGCTCCTCTGCTCGCACCGCTACCCATTTCATTTACAGCCTAAAGCCAGACTAAGGCATATGGAGTCGGAGATTCAACTTGTGTGGCATGACGATGGAACTGTCGTCGATCTGGTTATCAGCTCAGTAGGGGCTTATCCGTGACCTTTGAATTTGACGTTCCGCTAGCCGGCTTCGCATTCATCTTTCATTTGTGTCCCGGTTTTCCTATACCAGCTTTTGGTTGGCTTACTTATCCGTGACCTTTGAATTTGACGTTCCGCTAGCCGGCTTCGCATTCATCTTTCATTTGTGTCCCGGTTTTCCTATACCAGCTTTTGGTTGGTTACCTCTCGAATGCGGCCACTTGGTCGATCTTTCCAGAATCGGACAAATAAATATTGTGAAGACTTCTGACTAATAACGGAAGACCAGCTAGTCTATTTTAGTCAAACTCCATTTTTCTTACTGCGTCTCCAGTAAGGTCTGTAGTTCTGACCTCTTGATGAAAGGATTGGTAACAACAGTATTGTGAGAATTTTTACATACGTGCAACTTTGTATGTTTGTGTCGCCCGGCTTGATTCAGTTCCTGGTTAGATACCTTAGGCACAGTTTTCACACGCAGTTGTTAATGTGAGGTTATGCTGGCATAATCTTCAAAATCTGGAAAGTGAACAGCGATGTGAATAGGATGGTATGACCAGGCGTTTCTATGGCCATGGGTCACTTTTATTGACACCTGTTTTCCTTCCGTTCTTATAGTACGTTGACGTTTGCGTAGTTCCAGTCTTTGTTGATTGCCAGAACTTCATTCAGTTAAGTGAGCGTGTCCTTGTCAACGATGATGAATTATACTACAAAGCTGTGTTTGGAGTGCAACAGTTGTGATCGATTATCAGGCAGGAAGCGATCTCGTGAAAATTTGTTAGAGAGTTATTGTGTTGTATCCTAATGTTATTCGGACGATGACTTTCCATTGAGTGTTACTGATTGGATACACGGTAAATGTATGAACAGAGTTTGAATATATACGACAGTAGAACTCCTTATTAAGGAGGATCTCAACTATGGATGCTGATTCCCAACGGCTTATTTTCAAAGAGCCCACAAAAAGACCCATCGAGAAAAAGGGTGGAGAACAGCTTTGTGAATCCAGAGAACCGATCTATAAGGGATAATGCGTTGTCACGTTCTCCTCGATTAGCTCAGGTTTATTGACATTTAACCGTGAAGATACCTGTGAATGAATGTGAGCACAAGCTGTTGCACTCTGTCTCCGGCCAGTAGTCACATGATGGCCGTTTCGCGTCATCCTGCAACGGCTCAAGAAAAATACGCCATTTGAGCATGTTCTCACAAGAAGGAGCTTGTATGTAAGCCTGCTAAAAGAGCCTTCGTCTCTAAGATTGAATTTTGTGGCCGGAAATACGTTCAACTCAGATAGTTGCTACATCATTTGGATTGAGGCAACTTGGAATAGTATGTTGATAGGGTTAGCTTGGCGATGTCTCTGCTTCGGTAGAACTCGCTACCGTTAGAGCCACATTTACGACGGAAGATGAGCTCACATTCAACGGAAACGTCAGACATGATAGCCTTGGATCACTATATTATGAAGATGTTACCTACGACCTTGTAGTATGACTTAACTGACTGCTATCAAGAGCCAGAAGTAGTCAGTCTACCTTACAGCCATTCCGACAACACGTACACACAGAGCTGAACGGAACTTGACTAGTCTCTAGCAGTTGGTGAGGCAATGAGGTCTGCAGTACACAATGCATGATGACCGAAAGCAACAATTCACGGGGTCGGACTCGTTCCTAAAAATTTCCAAAAACCTCAGAACTACAAAAAGCAGCAATGCTTCTGTATCTTGACTATTACCGAGTGAAATCACCTGTTAGTCCACGAAGCCCCTGCAGAAGAAATATCTCTCACTTTGGGATATTTTGGTTCGCCTTGAATATCCTTTACTGACAGACACTGGTGGTTTCCGCTGTATGGCGAGAACTACATGTTATTCCAGAACATAGGTGATTGAGTAATTCCGCCGTGAAGTTTACATCTGCAGTACTCCACCGTTCTACCAGCCTTCCTTTTTTGCTCTACATGTTTTGGTAACTGAGGGGTCGACAGTATGAAACTGACCTTTGTTTTTTCCTGTCATTGCTTCTCCCGCTCTGTCGCTGGTCGTTGCACTGCTTCCGTGTGTTTGTGCAGCGCAGAAAATGAATGCATTGACAGATCTGTCTCAGCATTTCCACTGAGTTCGCTTCGACCACCATCCCACGCACACGTGCACATGACCAAATTTTTGTCGCACTGATGGTTATCAGCCTTTGTCTGGCGACCTTGTCTGGCCGGCTGCATGACTATCTTTTGGCTCGGGTTGTGCTTGTGCGTCGAGTGGTGACTCGGACGGAAATCGTGTCACACTGCCTACTGTCATGACAACCGAACTATTGGGCTTGGTCTGGTCGAATTCGAGTGATTCAGCATGTCTTGATTGAGGCCTGCCGTCCGTAAACCGGTACTGTGGGGTGCATGGGGTAAAGACTTGACGCGATCATTCTGCTCCATGAGCGGTGAACCAATGTAGCCCATAAACAGGCCGCGATAAAAGAAGCGTGACCAACTTTTTTTTACGCGCAACTTCCGTATGCGTACAGTGCAACTCTGGTAATAATTGTACGTAGTGGGCTCGTATCTCAATATTTTCACCTTAAAGACACTAAGAATTAAAAAAAAACTACCAGATGTATAGAAGCGATCATTTTTAAGAAACCTGGCTAGAATTTTCCCATGTGTCACATGAAACCTTTTAAAAACACAAACCCCAGCTTGAGCATTTTGGCATCGGTAGAGTACCCGAAGAGGCACCGAATGAAGCAGCCCTTCACTTCCCACCCCCTCCTCTCCCCTAAAATGGTCCACTGCGGTTAATCCATCCAATCTTCTAACCATTGTTCCATCTCTAAACTACCGCCCGGTAGGCTTCTAATCCCTGTACTCTTTGTCAATTGTGGCAACAAGTATCTCTTGCTCAAACTTTGCTTTCTTTTTCCGTCGTTGTGTGTTGTACCTCCGAAACATGCATTTGAACTCTCCACTTTGGTCATATACTTTCAAGGCTCAAAAATTAACATTTCAGTCTTCGGTTACCTAGTGATCTTGATGTAGCAAGTCTCAGTGTATATGGCATGGAAGTTGCGATCATCACCAGAACTGGGAGCGCTTTACTGGCCTGGATTCCAGCAAACAACCGTTGCGCTGCGTGGCTGTCCGATTCAGTTAAGTTCAGTGTAAGTCGACGCAGTAAAATATGTTTGTTGTTACTTATGCTGATATTGACCATATATTTATTTATGATGGGTAGTCGAACTGTGCCACTCTTTCAGACGTTCAGTGATGTTATTTTATCTTGATTTGGGGTCTGCTCTTAACGCTGTCGAGGGTCATAAACCATAGCGGTGCCTGTTAAACATAAGCGACCCTTCTAAATTTTAATTCACATGAAAAAGTGTATTCCAAGTCCAGTCAGCGAGTGTGAGTATATAGCAAGCTTTCATCCAAGCTCCTCAAATCCAGGGGTGTAAGACAAGAAGCTTCTCGCCGTTTTACTTCAACCCTTTTATTGATGCGCGGCTTCAAAGTCTGCTTATGAAACCTTGAGAATCGAAGTACTCCAAGGATGTTCACTCACAGACTAAGCACACAGAATGCTTCTTCCAGACCCTTTAAAAGTGCAATCCATTTTAATATAATTCTGCCGCACGCTTTTGTATGCATTTGACACATGTGAAGTGTAAAGCGCTGCTACGAGACTGAGTGAGATCAAATCCAAGCTCATGCTTGCATACCAGCCAGTCGACATGGTAGGTATATTTGTTTACGCGAGCAGTTATATGGGCTCCGATAGGCTGGCTGAAGATTAGATCACTTCTCGAATGGGGAAGATCAGGGCAGCTTTTGCCAACTCCCAGCACCTGTGAGACCGGCGTGACGTCATAGTACACTACGATAGTGTTCATATTACATTATTTGTCGGGAACATGCGGGAACATGTCGGGTACGTGCAAAGGACGTAGAAGAACTCTGTGTTTAACCACCGGTGTCCTCAAAGTACTGGTCTGGTGTGGTGAGAACATCTGACTAGTAACGCTGATGTGCCCTAGGTGGCTCTGGAAGCTCTCCTGCAGTAGACGAACTACTCACGTCCCATAAGTTACGCTAGTTAGGACACGTATTCCACATATCAGAGGACTTTTTTTGTCAAGCTGTGCGCTGGTTGAGGACGACGGGGTCACGGACGTAATGTGCAAACCAAGTATGAAAGCATCAGTCAGCGAATTTGGGCGGTGACAACTGCCACCTTCCTGGTTGGGGACCCCGTGACTCAACTCAACAATGAATAACACTGGTAGCGGTGTCTCAACGTCGAAGTCAGCAGTTTCTACATCAATTCTAGTGCCATTCAGTGCATAACTTCTCAGTTTTCAGTCTCTTCAGACAACTTAAATGATTTAAAAACAACTTGCTGATTGAACCACCGTCTGCAGTACCCACTCCTGAGCAGCCGTTGCAAAGAGACTGAATCCCATCGCGATGAAACGGTTCCCTTGTCTTAGCGACCCACTGAACGATACAGAATAATGTCTGTGCAGCATCTGCAGAGTTTCCTACCGGACTCAGTGACTAGAGGTATGAGGAGCACAATCTCATGGGTCTCTGGTTTGAGGTTCGAAACAAGTGTAGCAGCTTCCTATAATTTAGACAGTTGTAACCGTTTTGTGCGGAGCACCACTACTGTTCGACCAGGCTTCTAAGTCCAGAGACTGATAGATGATTTTAATGATCTGCGTGCCTAGTTTTGAACACCTAACAATATCTGCGCCTATATACAACCGTAAATTGCGCAAACAAATATACCTCCATGTCACCTCAGCCGTCGCATGGTGAAATGAATCAATTTGCCTTATTCGCTGCATGCGACGGGGTGGATAAGCGAAGACTCGCAACTTTCGTTGCTGCCCATCTTTCTTCCAAATTCCCCCTTAACCCTCTCCTGCTATACTGTCATCTTTCATTAGCTCTCACCTCTAAGCACGTCAATCCTGTAGACCATCTTCATTTGCAGTTTGCTTTGTTTGCAGCTTGTTTTGCGGTTTGTAGGCAATCTGGCCAACAAACTACACTTGTGGTGGACCTCTGTCACTGAATAATGGGTAGTGTCATATCCTAAGTACGAGCTGGTCGCACCACTGATCAGCTGCTTACGACCGAACATTTTGTTGCTCAAACTAATAACCAGGAGGTCATGAGATGCACACTGCTGATGGTTTTTACTCAGGGTGACACACCTGTACGGTGCTTCTCGGATTTTCAGCGTAGATTAGCTTCGTTAACAGGGTGAAATTGCAACTGAAAATGCCTCTAATCGTTGGAGATGTCAGTGCGAAGTAGGATGCTTCAGTCCATCCGATGCAAGACCAAAGGGGTAATGATACTTGTGAGCTTCTTGTACAACTTTAAGCTGACCGCCAGCTTTTCCTCAGCATTGCCAGATTCAAGCGCGGTTGACACCGTTGTATTACCCGGGGTTGCTTTACTGCCGAACAAATATGGTGCCACTACTGATGACGGTTGGTAACCTATGTTGTTGTAATACTTGAGTATTACATCCATGCCATTGGACGATGTAGGTTTTCATTGAATTTTCCGGGTGTGTCTAGGAGGTAAACCGCCAAATTAGCAACCGAAAATCAATCTAAACCAAGTGCTGAGCATATATGCTTAATCCATGTATGTAATTCGTTAAAAGCGCCCTCTTTACAAGATATTAATCGTAACTGGGAGAAAATAACAACCGCTATTCGTGAGGCTGGAAGTTCGGTATGTGTTTTTTCTAAGGACGCAAATACTAAGCACTGAATCTCAGAACGGTGGCTGTGACTCCTTGACACATTGCTGAATATTTCGGTTATGTGGTTTGTTAGACGTCAGCTCTAACGAAGCGTGTGAATAGTCAGAGGTGTGTGGTAGAACCAGAAGGCTCTAGAAGTGGAACGGGCAAGCGTAGCGAACGACGGAAGCTGTTTCAGCTAATTCGCAAAAAACAGACCTATGATAAAGCGTGTTGAAGATAATATTGAAAAGCTGACATTCAGAGGTGTGTGGTAGAACCAGAAGGCTCCAGAAGTGGAACGGACAAGCGTAGCGAACGACGCAAGCTGTTTCAGCTAATTCGCAAAAACCAGACCTATGATAAAGAGTGTTGAAGATAATATTGAAAAGCTGACACCTAAGTCGAAATGCAGAATATTTTCAACTACAGATGAGTTGGCCATCAGCTGTAATTGTCTTTCACCCCAACCGTTTGAATCGAGCTGTGGTCTCAGAGTTTCGACCCTTCCTCATGCCTTTCTTCATCAGGGCACCATCGGGCTGTTGGCCAGATGAACTTTTACCAACGATGGCATCAGGCACACCGCCGACCAACAGCTGCATTTCCCCTCGATTTTAACAGGACCTTTGACACCGCAGATAGGTCAGTTCTACACAAACTCATCAGAGAGGAATGCTCCAGAATCTTGTAAATATACTCCGTGCTCTCTACTCTCACACTTGTGGTTATGTTAGGATTCACAGAGCACTGTCTAAGGGTTTCACCACAACTACTAGGGTTCGGAAAGTTTGTTTTGACTCGATCTTTTCTATTTAATTTGATCGTCGACATAATCACAGAATGCGTATTTCAAGGGTTCGAAAACTTTTTTTTATCGAAATTACGCCTGAATATTGACTGGTAAACTTAAACTATGCGGACGACTTTGCCTCGTGATCCGACAGCCACTGGTCTGTGTCCCTCAGAACCTAGAGGCAGTGGCATTTGAGTGTATTGGCCGGTTTGCATATCCGCTTAGCACCATCAACCGCGACCGAAGACGTAAATACACGCATGAGCAGTGCACACATTTACGAAATAAGGTCGCTTCTGGCGTCAGAAATGAACTTCAGTGAAGCTGAAGAGCCATGTGTATAAAACAACTAAATGTTTGTGAAACTTGGCCCCTTCGAATCGAGCAAGTTAAAAGAAATCAAACTTCTGATTATCGATGTCTTCAAATTATAATGGGGTAGCTGGACGCAGCGTGTTTGCATCGGGTGACAGGCAATTAAGCGGGCACCTGATGGTGAATCGGAGTCGCTGGAGCATCAGGTTGAGGTGCCTTGGAAATGCATTGCGCATGCCCAACTGTTACCTGCCAAATTAAGCGTTGTTTTCAATTCCTAACTTATTGAAAGGCCTGCGGTGAACAGGTCATTACTCGACAGCGCGAAATGACATTCAGATACTTTCAATCTGAATACTTTGAGACCTACGCGCCTTCCTGATTGGAGTTCATGTGACTCTCCCTGCATGTGGTTGGAAACGCTGGAACGTAACTGGCTCCACCATCGAGCATACTGTCACTTTCTATTTAGACTGCGTACCAAAAGTGTTTGTCGTTGTACGTTGGACTCATTGTAGTCGAGGTTCTCAAAGGACGTTGGGTCAATCCCAATCACGGCATCTTTATTCGATGTGATGTCTGGACATTTGTTTTCCATAGAGACATAAGGCTGCGTGTACCACGTCCCCGTTCTTCTCCTTTTTTCACCCTCTAGCAGGGCACTCTTTCTAATGGTTGTGTGGCAGAACCTGCTGTCAACAATGATGA